GTGTGTGTGTGTGTCGTTGAAAAAAAGAAAAAAAAATGAGAAATTGGTAAAAGGAAACGAACTAGATAAAAAATTTCTCAAATTTAATGAAAATTTGATGATAATTTTTTTATTCATCTTACGTCGAAGGAAAATCTATTGAATGTGCACAATTTTTACACCTAATTTTAGATAGGTGATTAACGAATGTTTCTATATAAAAAAAGAAAAAAAAAAAAAGAAAAAAAAGTAAGAAAATTCACGACAAAATTTATCTGTTATTAGGGTAAAATCATTTTTTTTTTTTTTCCATTGGAGTATTTTACCTTGTTTTTTTGTATACATTCTTTACGAATAACAATAGCAGGAAAATTGTTCTCGTTGAAGAAAAAAAGTTATTGTAATGATCGGTAATAAGTGGTGGTGGTGGTGGTTGTAGTGGTACGTTTACGAAAAAAAAAAGTTAGCGATCGTGTGAAAATGAGAATAAAGTAGTAAAGAAAGAAAAATGGGAGCGTGATAAAAAATAGAAAAAAAAAGAGAACAAAAAAAAGAAACAAAGAAAAATAAAAAGGAAAAGAAAAGAAGAAGAAGAAAAAAACGATGACGAGAAAGGATTTATAAAACGGAGGAAAAAATGAGCCTGGTATTGCGGGTTTTCAAGTGTAAACGAGCGAATGTGAAAACACATTTCGACGAATTGTAAGACGTGTTACGAGTTACCTTGCAAAACATGGCAAATAATCTCGAAGGAGGTAGCAATTGCAAGTAAAATGAGAGAAAGAGAGTAAGTGAGATGGGAAAATAAGAAGAAGTTGAATTTGAAGAGAGACAGAAGTTGAAAGTTTTAAAGTAACGTTGGCTTTTGTACGATTATTACTGTACCACTTAATCGTGTGGTTAGTAAACATATATACATATTTAAATTTCTCACCCTTTAACCCCTCCTCAACTTACTACCTTCCTTCTCTATCTCACATTTTAGTATTTCAAAATTGATGTGTTTCGCACCATCGACCAACATTCTTTAATTTATGCATACACGAAACAAGCATAGAAACGTTCGAAGTTATCCCATCGACGATGCAAGTGTATCGAGTTCGTGTGTTAGCTAACGACCACCCACCCTGTTTTACTCCACCTACACCCTCTCCCCACCCTACTCGATCTCACAAAGTCTCCATTTACGTTACTACAAACACACACTTTCAATCCCCACCCCATTCTCTTTCTCGTACCTCTTTACATTCCAAATACCATCTCGCACGGCACATTCTTGTTCACTTGCAAGAAAATAAACCAAGTGGCTTTCCAGAGTTTCCACTATTCGGAATAATTGAGATTATCGTTTGGTTAATTCGACCATTGTTCTACTTGAATTTCTCTCTCTCTCTCTCTCTCTCTCTCTCTTTCTCTTTCTATTTCTGTTCTATTTAAGAGAGGGTTAAGTTAGGTAGGGTACGATAAGAGGAAACTTTATCGTAGTGGATTGATTAGACTTACAAAGGTAAGATCAATTGAGAAAGTGTGTTTGTATCTGAGAATAATCGTTTTGATAGATTTGAAGAATAGCAAATAGTTATTTGGAAAAGCATGTGTTTATCTTATCACAAGACTTGTCATTCATTCTATTGCTTAGATGGAACAATGTAGAGAATTGTTCGAGATCGTATATCTAGGAGGAACTCATGAATCCAAATAATAGATATAATGTCATGTTCTCTACGTATAGTCTTATCGAGTAACGATAATGTTGTTATATATATACATATATGTAGGAGGTAACGCATAGTAAGAGGTAGTATGGTTGTATTAGGTATGGTGTCTTGTACTAAGGATCGATGAATTGCTTGAGCATTGTCGGTAACGTCATTGATGCGACCTCATCTTGTCTTACTATTACTACTACTACTACTAATACTACTACTACTACGAGTGTAGTATATACACTATACTAGTAATACTATATCGATGAGAAAATAGATTTCTATCTCATAGTAGATACTTACAATCTCTCTTCGTATTACGTAACTTATATAAATAAATAATTAAATAATGTTTTATAAATATTAATTGTATTTTACTTACAGATTACACTTGTTCCTATTTGGAATCATCCGTTCTTATCATCCAAAATATATTCTGTAAAGATAATAAAAAGACGTATGTTAGTTTAAAATGGTTTTACAAGAATTTCAAAAGTGAATAAAATTATATTATATCTAATAAATGTTGGAATAAAAAATATGTAAGTTGAATTTGATAATGAAGTATTATACTAATTATTATCATAACATTAATCCAATTTATTGATAATATTTCCTCTATTGAAAAATTTTGTATGATAATATTATTATACAAAATAATATTAAATAAAATGGCGTAATATTGTTTTGTTCGTTCACACGAATCCAATACGTTTTCTTTTGCTTGTATCAAAAGTTTTTCATACTTGAAATATTTTTCAAAACAAGAATACGAGATCGTTGGATATGGGAATATCTCAGTGCCGGTATTTCACTGCGAACAGTAGCTGCAAGGATGCGCTTGCCTGAGCATGCTAACTCGAAATTTATGCACTTTCCAAGTTTCGATATTACGTGACCGGTGGTGCTTCATTGTCGTTGCAAAAGCGCAATTTGTCGTTTGGTCCGTGTTACGTAACGAGAACTAAGTAACAAGAGAAGATCTTAAAAGTTTTATCACTTACCTACACATATTCGTTTATGATATTAAATGTAATGAATTATTTTAAAGAAGAAAAAATGTGTAAAGAAAAAGAATGAAGAAGAACAGCATATGTGAGTTGTGACGATGAATTAAATAAAAATAAATAAAACGAAATGATTTGTCAAATATTATCAATAAATTAAATTAATTAAATAATATAATTAATCATTGAATAAAAAAATAAATATAAATATAAGTAAACATGTGTCAATATGTGTATAAAGATAACAATTTTCGTATCCTATGCAAATTGATATGAATATAGAAAAAAAAAGTGTGACTGAGCATACAAGATAAAAGAAAAAAGTTAAAAGAAAAGAACAAAAAATATCGAGGGATGATAAAGTGTGAGAAAAGGGGGTGAAGAGGTTGGTAGAAACTAGAGGATGTATGGTCCACTGGATAGTTGGTAGAAACGACCAGAGGAATCACTTTTATTTCGTCCTTTTCTTTCGACGTTTGGTACCTTTGCACTGAACCTTTCTCTTTCTCTCTCTCTCTCTCTTTTACTTCCTTTTATTCCCTTTTTTCGTTTCTATACGTAGACGTTTCTCACGAAGGGAGAAAAACGACATCATACTGCATCGCGGGTAATGGTCGTCGTCTGTTTATCGCAGGGCATTCGTCTACCATCGACATGAAAATAAAAAGGGAAAGGGCTTGGCAAACTTTACTTCCCTCTTTTTCTCTCTATACTTCAACATTTCTCTATTCTCTCTTTTTCTCTTTTTCTCATTCTCTATTTCTGTGTTTCTCTATTTCACGTAACACCCCTGCGGCATATTACGTGTACATGACGTTCGTGCTAACTCACACCTGCCACGTAACTCCTACATATTTTTCCTGTTTATTTCACCTCCTTTTCCTCCACCCTCACCCCCTCCTAACTACCTATTTATTTTTTTTCTTTTGAAACTTTCTTCCTCTCTCTCTCTCTCTCTCTCTCACTTTCTTTTTTGCTCTCTTTCTCTCTTTATTTCTATTTTTAACTTCGTCCTTCGAGCCAGCAAACGCTTGCAATTCGCACGCATTACATTTACACGCAACGACGACTAATTCTCGTGTGAAAATATCTTACTTCCTACCTTTTTAAACTTTTGCTGTTTCCCATGTAGCTGCATTTTAAACGCGTTAGATTTCTATGGAATGTCTGTGCGTTTATTATTTTAATATATAGAAAATAAAAAATTGTTACAACAATTTGAAGATGAATTTTAATATAATTATTTTAATATAATTTAATATACACATATAAGAATAATTCTTGATTTGATATAATTTAGTATTTTGAGAAATATAACACACACACACACACACACACACAGATTGTATTAAAGTTTAAGACAAATATTCAAAATAACATTAAGTGTGAACAATTTAATTTTAATTATATTATATTATCCTTATTTAAAAATATTCTTTTATTTTTATTTTATCTTATAATACCCTTTTTGTTATACATTTAAAACCAATAACCATTAACCAAAATAAAGTATCGGTCGATTACTCGTAAACATAAATGACAAGAAAAGAAAAGAAAAGAAAAGAAAAGAAAAGAAAAGAAAAGAAAAATAAAAAGAAAAGAAGCATAAAATTAAATTGAAAGAAAATTCACTTTAATCGAGCTTTTAAAATTGTCTCCTCATGGTATTTTATTGCAAACGAGAGAGTATTTGTTTCCTCTACCTTTCCCTCACCCACTTTTCCATAACAGTTAGTTTCTACTCTTACGTAATAGGAAAGATAAAAAATAGTTCGGTCTTATCTGGGGATGGGGGAGAGAGGAAAGTCGTTTCTAAAATCTCGCTGATATTTTCTACGAGCTAAAACGAGAGGAGAAAGTAAGAATGTGAAAGCACGAAAGACGACTACGACTACGTAAAAAGGGTAAAAAGGGATGATGGGAAGAAGGAAGAAGAACCTTTTCAGAGAGGAAAAAGCTCGTCGCGTCGTAGAAAGTGTCGAATGTACATAACTACGCCATTGCATCCTGCTTCTTAAATATTAAAGTCACTTTCAAGCTGTTTTCATGTCTCTACTTCTTAAAACGAAACGAGTTTCTCTTCTAGGAACGAACTAAGGTGAAGATTAACAGAAGAAGATGGCTCGATTGAAAGAGCTTTAACCCTTAAGGGAGGGAAAGGGTCTTACTCTGTCTAATTAATCGTCTAAAAGGGACTCGTTGATTATTTTTTTTTCCTTCTTTCCTCTTCCTTTTTCTTTTTGTTCTTTTTTATTTTTTATTTTTATCTTTATGTCACGTTTTATATCAAAGCAAAATGTTTCATGTATTATACAATAATAAAAAGTGATTCCCTAATATTACTTTATTTTAATTTATTTTTTTTTTTTTTAATCAAGCCTTTGCAAAAAGAAAAACAAATTTATTTGCTATATTAAAAATAAGACTAAAGATAAACAGAAAAGTATATTTTTTAGAGTAATAATATTATTTTATGGGAATATTAATATCCTAGTTTGTTCTGGTAAATAATTATTTAACTAGTGAAACGTTTAATCAAATTTTTCATTTAATAATTTAATATATTTTTTCTAAATATCAATAAAAAAGAATTAAATAAGTTTAAATGATATGATGGAAAAATAAAATGTTCTTACTTTGAATATAAAAATATTCAAATAAATTCTTCACGTTTCTTACAAAATTTAATTCACATTTTGTAAATATCAAATTAAACATAACGAAAACGTGTTTTACGATGATATAAATGAAAAAAAATCAAATTTTTTACTTTGATAATAATATGAAAGAAATTTCAGATTTATTAAAATTCAACTACTGTTTATCCTTGTAAATAAGTACTTAGAAAACACTCTGTGGATGTGGATCTTGTAACACGAAGAAAGATATATTACGTATAATATCTTTTAATTAAAGAGCACTAAACCAACTTCCTACCTTGACAAAGTACCTACAATGAAGAAATATATCTCTCCTACACACTCTCTCTCTCTATCTCACTCTCTTTCTCTTCTTCTTCTTCTTCTTATTCTATCCCCAGTATTTGAATTTTCTCCACGTGTATGCCTTCATCTCCCTACACGATAATTCGGGTCTGATATAGTCAGGATAAAACAGATGTTCTGCTTCTCTTTTTTCTGTTTTTTTTTTTTCGTTCTTTTTCTTTTTCTTTTTCCTTCATAAAAACATACTAAACCTCGAAGATCAACGTGTATTCTCATATTTCATTTTATAATTTTTTTCATATCTTATTTTACATACTTTTCCCTTTTTCTTTTATTTTGAACAACGTACATGAGAAAGATAGTCAGAAATAAAAGATAAAATACTCAAAAAAAAAAAGAGACGGAAGAAGACAATAAAAAGAAAATTTGTAATTTCAATTTGTACAAGACAAAAGAAGAATGACAACAAGAAGAAGAAGAAGAAGAAGGGGTGTATAAGGAGGTAAAAGTAGGGGGTGGTAAAAGGCTTTCCGTAGAAACGACGTAAACATCTCGAAAGGAAGTTTATCGAGAGGAGATTTTGTCGATTACGAGTTTAAACGGAGTTTCGCCGCTTGGCAATTATGAGGGGACCGATTAAATTACCGAAGCCTGTTCGTTCATTCGTTGATTCATTCATTCGTTCGTTCATTCGTTCATTCGTTCATTCGTACGTCTCTCAGAGGTGACGGAAAAGGCGATAAACGAATTATTTAAATAAAATAAAATTCTAAAGGAAGAGTTGCCCAGTTTCATTCCTTTTATTTTTCAATTGGATTGAAACAAATTTTTTTTTCTCCTTTTTTTCTCTGTTAAATTATTTTTTTTTTCTTAAACAAGTTTATCCTTCTTTCACACTCTCAATATATACAATAATAATAATAATAATAATAATAATAATAATAATAATAATAATAGTAGGTATTTTTAAATAATATTAATAAAGTAATACTAATATATACTACTACTAATATATTACTACTATACCACTACTATATTATTACTAATATAATAATACTAATAATATTAATATTTAATATATGTGTAATATTATATTATATTAATATAATAGAATTTAATTTATATTTTTTATTATTTTTTATATATCTAATAACTACATATATAATATATATAACATATAGAATTCTATATAAAATAAATTATATATATAATATTATTAATATTAATTAGAAATTTATTATAAATTATATTTCAATTTTTAATATATTATATTATATATTTATAATATATTTTATATTTCAATTTTAATTTATATAATATATATCACCCTTTTCTATCGTAATATCGTTTCCATCATTTAATTAAATATATAAAATTATAATTTCGGCATATGTCATTATAGTTCGTTTGAAACTTAAAAAAAAGGAAATAAATAGAAGAAAAAAAAAATTAATAAAAAGTGAGGCAAATCTTTTCGGTATGAT